GAAGGGGAGGGCCAGGCCAGCCCGGAAGCTGAGTGGGCCTCTGGCGAGGTGACGCCCCGAGTCTTGCCCAGCTCATCCTAAATGCCTCATGCTCACTCCAGGTGGCACCCCAGGCAGGACTGTGCGGCTGAGGGGCTTCCTGTAGGGGGCGCAGAGGCACGGGCGCTCCAGGTGCCAGAGCTGGGAGGGGCCCAATCTGGCCTGGAGGACGCCCTGGAGTTCCCCAGTGGCTGGTTGGCCGGGGTCAGGGCCCAGGCAGCAGCACACCTGTGTGCTCACCTGTTCACTCAGGTGTGTGCACAGGCAGCCAGCTGGCCTGTGAGGACTGGGCAGGTGGTGTGCAGACACACACAGCGGGCACCCTGGCAGGCACCCTTACGCCACCACCCCTCGCTGCAGGTGCTTCTCTCTGGTACCTCCTTGCCTCTCCTCCTAGCCAATGAGGCCACAGCGTCAGGGCAGGGCGGCCTCCGGGCTGGCAGCACTGGCCCTCCCCCCCCAGGTGCAGGAGTGGCGCTGTCACCCCCTCTGGAGGAAGGACACAGCAGGCGGCACCTGGGTGTGGCCAGGGGCTGAAGACAGAGTCTGGCCATCCTGCCCGCAGTCCCGCTGGGGAGCTGAGGCCCTTCTCCACCCACACCCCACATCGGGGCAACTGAGTCACAGCTGGGTTGGGGGCAGGCACAAGTGCCCACACCAGGACCCAGGGCCAAACTCCCCATGAGGAGCTGGGAGAAGACGCCAGGCTGGGTTTGGAGGAGGACACAGCCAGCACAGGGGGCTGAGAACCAAGGGTGGGTGGCGGGGGGCAGGGGACAGCAGTGGAGGGCATGGGCCCAGCAGAGGCAGGGCCACACCCAGGGTCCCGCCAAACCCCACCCGCAGGGCCAGGCGTGTTCCTGGCACCATGGGACAGGACGACTATGGATGGCGGCGGTGCGGGCACAGCCTCTGAGTCACCGCAGAGAAATAAGGAGAGTGGGAAGGACACCGCGTCTCGCTCTCTGGCTCGGTTTCCCAGCGCCAGGAAATCCCCACTGAGCTACCAGCCCCTTTGCTGCCCCGACACCCCCCTGCTTCCGGCTGCCCAGGGCCGGCCTGGCCGCTCCCCACCCCTCCACCCCGGGGTCCCGCGGGGCCGGGCCCTGGGCACAGAAGCAGGTCTCCCTCCTGTCAACTGGGCCCCGGTTCCCGGGGTGGGGGGGACAGTTTCCTCATGGCCTCAGAGAGAGCCCCCGCTGGCCTGGGGGCGGGGGGTGCGCAGTTGCTGGGCCGCACCTGGGCCAGACCACTCCGCCTGTTCTTGAGGGCCGGGCCGGGCCGGGCTCAGGACACGGGCCCAGGGTGAGCTGTGATGGGACGTCTGGGCTCAGACACTCCTGTGTCTCCTGGGTCAGCAGCATAGCCATGCCCGACCCTTGAAGGTCTGGACCCCCAGGCTCCTCGCTGAGCCATCTTCCCATCTGTGAAGTGGGGCCTGGGGTCACCCCCCAGCACTGGTGGGCGTGGCTGCATCACAGGGCCTCTGTTCTTCCTCTACCTGTGTACCTGTGCCAGCCTGGCTCCCTCCTGTCCTCTAGCCAGGACACCACCCTGAGAATTTAGTCTCTCTCCCCAGGACCCCAGGTGCTACCCCACATGGGCCTTCTGCCCTCTGCCTCGCCATCTCTGTCTCGGCCACGCCCTGTCTGGGCATGCCCACAGAGGGCAGTTGCTGACTTGCGGTTTCTGGGACGCCACTGCGGGGTTTCGGCCCAGCCCTGGAGTCCCTCCCGCACAGGCAGGTGAGCCAGCTGCTTGGGACCTGGGGCTTAGGTGGCCCCACAGGCAGCAGGACAGCAGAGCTCACCGGGTCTCCCCCCCCACCACCACTGCACTGACCCTGGGCTCCATCCTGCCTGCCTGGACCACCCCAGCCCCAGGCCCTGCCACTCCTGACGCCCCCAGGGACCGTCTGCACCCCTCTCTCCTATGCAGGCCAGGAGCCTGCTCTGAACACACCACTCTGCAGCTCGAAGTCTGTCCCGGCTCCCTCTTGCCTGTGGAGGAAAGAACGGTAGAGCCGCTGGGCCTCAGCTCTCTCAGCAGCAAAATGGGTCTTTGGGGAGCACTGCCTGCCCCCTAAACCCCTTGAGGGACCCGGCTGGCACGTCCTGCACGGTGGGCAGGGAGATAGCTGCTGCATCTGGGGGTCTCCACAACCTCATCCTGCCCCTGCTCCCACCAGCTGTGAGGCTCCTCCGTGGCCTTAAAAGAGCCTCAGCTGGGCAGTGCTGCCCAGCTCACAGGTGGGGAAACTGAGACTGGACCCTGGGGGAGGGGCCCTACACTGTCCAGGAGCTGACCACATAGAACTGGTCTGACCAGGTGCATGTGTACATATGTGCATGTGTGTTTGTGTGTGTGCGCATGTCTGCCTGTGTGTGTGTGTGCTCACATGTGCATGTGGACTGGGACATTGCCAGCAGGCAGTGAAGCAAAGGTTATAGCCTGTGTGTGGGTAGGGCCCTGGGGCTCCTGCCCAGCTGGGGTAGCAGAGCAGGGCCCCATGGGGGAGCCTTGGAGGCTGGGTGGCTGGGTGGGGGGATGGGCAGACATGTGAGCTGCTGGCTCCTGTTCACAGGTCAGACACACAGAGATGGGGACATGGGAGGCCAAATTTCGCCTGGGGCCTGGCCCCTGAGTGGTGCCCAGACCCAGCTCCAGGCTCCATGGCAGCTCCCGCCGTGGCCACGTGCTGCTGTCGGCCATTCCTCATCAACAACACAGCCCGCCCAGCTCCCGCATCCCACCCTGCCCCTGTGTCCCCTGTGGCTGAGGATGGCACCTGCCTGGCATGTCACTGGAGCCATCCAGGCCATCCCAGCCCGTGGCCGCCTCTCTTCACCTCCTGTGAGTCCTTGCTCCCCGGTTTGGGCGTGTCTGAGGACGGCGGGTGTGAGGGTGCCCAAGGGCCTTGTGGGTGCTGAGTCAGGAGCTGGAAGGGCCCGTGTGGACCCAGTGCACCCACGTGCCCTGCCCAGTGGGCCATGTGCTGCTTGGCCAGCAGGCTTGAGAGTCGGTGTCCCTGGAAGGGCGCACATGCCCTCCCTGCCCCCGAGCCCAGCTCTCCACTGGGAAGTCCAGCAGCCTGGACACAGGGCAGCTACAGCTCTCACAGCCTGTGACCGGCCTCTCCCACAGGCTGCTTCCCTCGCCCATCTTGGCCAGGCCACCGCCTCCGCTGGGCGGCAGTGTGGCCCACTGAGCAAAGTGCCCCAGCACTGGGCACAGCCAGCGACGAGGGTTTTCACCTGCGCTCAGGACACTCAGATCCACCCAGATGATTTGGGGCCATTGACCCCCTCCCAGGCCCCCTCTGATGGCACCCCCGCCCCCTGCAGCACAAGGGGGCTCTGCTCTCCAGACCCCTCTCGCCCTGCCCGGGGTGTTTGGTGGGGAGGGTCCCAGCCCTGGGGAACCTGGGCCCACGGGGTATCAGGGGTGCAGGCAGTGGGGGACGTGGACCAGGCAGTGTGGTCGAGGGGCCGTGGGTGGTGCCGGTCAAGGGTGGAGGGCAGGAGGCAAGGTGGTCAGAGAGCAGGGGGCGGGGCTGGGAGCAGGGAAGCAGGGGTAGGGGGTATGGAGGCGGGCACTGAGCAGTGGGGATTGTGGGGGTGCTGTGGGCTGGGGTCAAGGGGCGGGGGCCCCTGGGGACACAATGAGCCTTTGTCCCGCGGCCAGACGTCCTGAGCAAACACACGCCCTGTGCACACCGAGTCCTGGGACTGGCAGGCCTTGGCACTGGGCCAGGAGGGAGGGGTCCGCAGGGCCAGGGCAGAGTGGTCCCTGCCTGTGGCCCGGGGTCCACACTGTTCAACCTGCTGGGCTCCTGCCCCCACCGGGCCAGGCTTTCCCGAGGCCCCCCGGTCCTGGCAGGAGCCTCTCTCCGAGGAAGGCCATGGGCTCTGTCACTCAGCCAGTGTCCCAGGGCCTCACCATCCTGGCCCCACATGGCGGCTGGACCCAGAGGCCAAAGACCCGAGCCTGAGGCTCTCCGGGACCCCCGGTCTGCGCTCTAGATGGGTAGGGGCAGATGGGAAACAGACCCGCCCTGAGGAGAGATAGACTGGTCCACTTAGCTTGAGGCCTGGGGGCTGTGTCCTGGCCCTGTGGGCACAGGGCTGAGCACCTTCCCTCTTAGCTCACAACCCTGGAAACAGCTGAGGAATGAGACCTGGCCCTCCCTGTCCCCACCCTGCAAGGAACTGGCTACACTGGGGCTCCTAAGGGTGGCACCGGCATTGAGCCTGCAGCTGGGGTCAAGTCCCAGTCCAGTCTGGGTCTGCAGCTGGGGCCCCTCTGTAGGCGGGAGATCTCTCAGCTGCTACCCGTGTGGGGAGGGGGCTGCATGACCCAACAGGGCCCTGCAGGGTACCAGCTTTGAGCCCAGGCCTCACCTTGGGCAGGTGACAGCTCTGGAACCTCCTCTGGAGGCTGGCAGGGCCCCCTGGAGGGGTTGTTTGCATGACAAATGGGTTCCCTGGAAGGCTGGTGGTCAGGGAGCCGCCTATGTGCACATTCATGCCTGCATGTGCGTGTGCGCTTGTGTGTGACTGCCTAGTGGCATGCAGGCCTGACCACGCTGCGCAGGGGTGCCCCTCACCCTGCCTGCACGAGGCTGGCATGCCCCTCCCACACCTGTGCCCCTCAGCGTGTGTGCCCCCAGCTGCTCATAGGAGAGCCCCCTTGGGGCCCTACGTAGCAGGACCTCACCCAGGCCAACATGTCCATGCACGATGGCCCCGTGTCCCTGTGCCCTAGTGGTGGTGCTGCGGGCAGAGGAGGCAGGACGTCTTTGCTGGCCTTCTGTCCATCTGTCTGTCTGGGCCAGGCCTGCTCTGCCGGCTCTGCCCTCCCAGGGCCACTGGCCCATCCTGTGGGCCTGCGGGTTGTGGGGCAGGTCGGGGCGATTCTGAACAGATGCCTGGAGGCTGCCACAGATTCTCAGTCCCCAGCTTCTGGGATGGGCTCAAGGGGGCCAGACCTGGCCAGGTTGGGTACGGGACAGGGAACTGGGCAGAGCATGGGTGTGTGGGGTGGCAGGACCTGGGGGGACCGAGGGTGGGAGGACATCTGCCTGGCTGGGGGTCTGATGAGGCAGGAAAAGGGGAGCCTGGACTGGGTGGGACCAGAAGGGGCTCTGGTTGCCTGGTCATGGTCAGATGGGGCTGGGGGAGCTGGGGGGACGGGAAGCCTCGCTCTCTGGGAACGGCGGTTGGGCACTAGGGCATACCCTCCTGCCAGCTCCCTGCTCTCTGGCAGGCACAGGAAAAGATCTGGTTGTGATTTGGGCCAGTGGTGGAGAAGAGCCCACTAGCAAGAAACAGGTGAACCTAATTTTAATAACTGAGCTTATTTAACCCGAAATCTCCAAAATATTATCATTTCAACAGGCAGTTAATATAAACAGGCAATAAGGACAGTGCACATCTTTTCTACTCAGGCCTAAGCCCCTGCACCGCCCACGCTGCAGGCAGCTCAGTTCACACAGGCCAGGAGGGGCCCACGTGGGTGGTGCAGCCCTGGCCCCGAGCTGGGGTCCCGGGGGCTGTCAGAAATGCAGAACGCCCCCCACCCCCGAGACCCACTGGTCTCCCTCCACGACCCCAGGGCACCTCTGGGTTCCCAAGCCTGGGACTGGGGCCCTCAGGAGGTGGTGGGAGATCTGCCCAGGAAACGCCTTTTTTAAAAATACACATATTGTTAAATAAAAAAGAAAAAAAAATACACATATTTTAATATTTAAATCATGAAATGCAACGCACACCCAGCAAAGAGCACACAGTGTGCAGTTTCAACAGTAATGACACAAACAGCGTGTGCGTGCCCCCAGGCCACCGAACGGGCTTGTCAGGCCTCAGCCCTCCAGCCAGCGCCGGCAGGGCAGTGTGGCAGCTGTCCCTAACTGTCCCCGTATTTACCACCTGTGTGTATGTTGGCCAAGAAGCACGTGTGAGACGGAAAGGCTTGCCCAGATCTGCCCGCTGGCCACGTGATCAACACAGGGCCCCCTTGCTCAACAAGCCGGAAGGAGTGACATTGAAGGAACTAAAATACAAAGCTGTTCCTCTTTGCTGTGGTGCCATTTACTTGTTTTTGTAATGTCGCTCTAAGTAAAGACACATCACATTTCAACTCGTTATCACGAATGTCACTGTCTGTCTCTGCGCTGAGCAAGGTGAGTTTTAGATGCAAACATGATGCAAGCGTGAGAGCAGCGAGCTCCTCACAGGCACTGGAGTCACGCGGGCATCTTCGCAGCTCACTGGGCGCCTGCGTTCTGCTCTTGCCAGGATGGAAACACTGCTCCAAACGGGCTCTGCTGTTGACGTTTCACTGTGGTACGATACACGTGACATAAATTTGCCATTTCGCCATTTTGCAGCTCAGCGGCATTAAGTGCAGTCATCACCACCATCCTCTCCAGAACTTTCCATCTTCCCAAACTGAAACTGTCCCTCTTCAATGCTGACGCCATTCCCCCTCCCCCAGCCCCCAGCACCACCATCTATTCTCCGTGTCTGTGAATCTGCGACTCTCGGGACCGCACATACATGGATCCTACTTGACCGTCTGTGACCGGCCTCCCTCCCTGAGCAGGACGCCCTCCAGGTCCACCCGTGTTCCGGCGCATGTCAGAATTCCCTTCCTTTTAAGGCTGAATGGCAATCCATGCGTGGGTGGACCATGTTTCCTCATCCGTCATCCATCCCTGGACACTTGGGGCACTTTCACCTTTGCCTCCTGTGAACAACGCTGCTGCACAGACATTTGTCTGGGTCCCTGCTGTCAGCTCTGAGGCGCAGACCCAGGAGTGAGGCCTGAGTCACATGGGGACCCCACCTCCAGCTTTCTGAAGACCCTGCGCAGCGCTCTCCGTGGCGGCTGCGCCACATCCTGGCCCACGCGGGGATTTTCCGTTCTCAGGGCCACCTGGGTGGGTGTGTGGTGGGAACGCAGGGTGGCCTTGATTTGCTCAGGTTCTCCCTGCCTGACACCCTGCCTGTCCTCACCTTCCTCCTCGCCCAGCTCAGATCCCCGCCACCAGTGACCGCCGCTTGCCCCCTCAGCACCTCTCGTGGCGAGTCCTCCTGACTCGGGCAGTTGGACGTGGCTGGAGAAACGCCCGCCCAGCCACCCGCCCCCTTCCGCTCCATCTTCCTCCCTCCCCAAACCCCAGCTCTCTGCCCCTCTGCCTACCTTTGTCCCAGCTGTCCCGCCCTGGCCCCCACCTGCTCAGGGAGCCCCTCTGAGACGCCTCATTCCCCATCATCCGTTTTCTCCACGACCGTCTGACAGACGCATCTATGGCATCGCCTCTCATCCCGCAGACCCTCGTGGATGGCCGCCCCGCCCTGGTCCTTCACGGCCAAGCTCCACCAGGGCCGGTCCTGTCGCCGCCACAGCACACGCTGGCACCCGCAGGGCCCGCAGCCCACCCCACCTTCAACGCCATGGGCGATCTCGTGCTGTGTAACGAATTACCCCACATTACCCACTTTGGTGGCTTAAAACAGCAGTTTATTGTCCTCTGGTTTCAGTGGGTCTGTGATCCAGCTGTGGCTGAACTGCTCCTCTCCTTCAAGGTGCTGAATGGGCTGTGGTCTCACCAGAAGGGTCGACCGAGACAGACTCACTTCCACGCTCCCTCGGGGGGCGTGGTGGGTTCAGGTTCCCACTTGTGGGGACTTCCTCAGCTCTGCACCTCATGGGCCTCTCCATGGGGCCTCTTCTGTCAGAACCTTAGAAGTCCGCCAGGTCTGTGCTGCTGGGGAGGGCGTAGCACAAGGCATGAAACCAGGAGGTGGGGACCCAGAACCCACCCTGGTCCTTGTCGCTATCCTGTCTCACCTGGGTGTCCCTTCTCATTGCCCTCTCCACCTCCACCCCTGGCAGGGCAGCCAGAGGCCTGGGATGACCTCCGTCCTGTCCTGCCACTGCTCTGCCCCCTGCCCTCCTAGGGCCTTCTCTCCGCTGTTAGCACGCCTCCAGCTGAGGCCCCTGGAAGCTCTCCGCCCAGCCCACCAACCAAAGAGGCGGCCCGTGCCAGTGGGAGGACAGCACAGCCCCACGTCATTACGCACTTGACAGCCCTTGGGCCCTCCTGCAGGAGCCCGTGGCCCCTCGCTCCAGCACTGTTCCCTGGGGAGAGGACCGGGGTCTGTGTTGGCGTCAGTACCTGGAGACCTGAAGCAGTGTTGTGGTCCCACTGGAGCTGGGGCACCTGGGGTCTGGCGGTAAGTGGGGTCCTGAGTAAGGCAGCCGGTCCATGGACCACAGCTCCTGAATGTATAATCATGTTGACAGATTCTCAGCCTATGAGGAAAGAGCTACTGTGGTGGGAACAGCAGAAACTTCCAGAGCTTGCCCCCACCCCAGCCAAGACCATAAGCAAACAGAGTGCCACAGCCTGAGGTGCTGATGTGGCAGAGATGTTGCCACCCTTACAGCTCTGACAGATGCAGGCAGTGGTGGGCCCCGTCTCAGCTCTGTTTGATTCACCAGGCCGGCCCTGCAGAGCCAGAGCCAGAGGTCCTGACAATGGTTGGATAGCCGCAGGCTCGGAGGAGGAGCCACCAAGCCATGTGGCTAGAGCAGCTCAACAGGCCTCACTATGGGAAGGTCACAGTGTGGGCCTGGTTTCTGGGGACTGCCCTGCCACTCACAGCGGGACCTGGGTGGCAGTGCTCCTGGCCCCACAGCTCTGGGCTCTGCAGGTTGGAGGTCCTGGGGCCCAGGGAGACCAGTCTGTCCCGAGGACACAGCAAGGGACACTAGCCGAGCTGGCTAGGAGCAGCAGGTCAGCCGAGAGGCCATCTCGTGTTAGGTGTGGGCAGCCTTGACTGGCAGGAGGTAGGGCTGCTTTTACTCATACCCCACGTGGCCGCGAATGGAAGTGACCACCAAGGCCATGCCCCTCAGGGCTTGGGCCAGGGAGGAGTCACCGGTCGGGGCACCCCAATGAGGCAGGGACCCTCATTAATGGAGCAAACCCTCCCTTCCTGACATGCCTGTGGTTTCTTCCCCGAGACCTGGCTGTGGCCCGAGGGTCGCAGGCAGGGGGACCCTGGAGAGTCAGGTGGCCGAGGACCATGTGCCCCTCCAGCCACACAGCCCCAACCCACTTGCCTGCCCCCATGGTGGCTGTTGTTTCAGCTTTGCTCAGGGTGTGGGGACTGTGGGGTGAGCACCCAAAGGTGATTTTCAGGCAAAGTGTTCAAAGCCCCCGAGGCTGTTCGCAGGCCCTCCCCTGCCCTGTACCCCTCCAGGCATGAGAGGCCGGCCTCTGAGTCTCCCTGAGCCCCCTTGGCCTGCACCTGGGTGGGCTGCCCCCTCCCGTCTCTCCTCCAGCTGCGACGGCCAGCCCAGACCTGGGTGAGGGTCTGAGGCTCCGGTGGGTGACCACGGGCCCACACACTGCCCACCCCATGGGCAGAGGAGTCCCCAGGGGGCTGCCCCGTACCCCTCGAAGCCTGGCCTGGCCCAGCTGTCCTGGGCAGGACTGGAGTCAGATGGCTGCCAGCATGGGCCACTGGTGGGAACAGCTGCAGCGTTGTCTCCTCAGCAGGCAGGAGGCAGGCGGCCTCACCACCCAGACTCCCCGCGCCGCTTGTGGCTTCAAGAAGCCTCCTTGCCCACAGGCAGGTTTGCTGGGGTGGGAACGTCCAGGTCAGCAGTGAGCAGGCACTGGCCTGGGCAGCCAACGCACTGCTTGTTCACGCATTCGTTTGTTCATTCACTCATACACTCACTCATTTACTCATTTATTCACTATACATCCTTTCACACATTCGTTCACTTGTTATGCAGCAAAGGGATCCCCTTAGCCTCGGTCAGATCATGGCCCTTCTGTGCAGAGCTCAGCAGGCTCCCACCCCGCCGGACCGGAGCCACACCCTCCCTGACCTGCCCCCATTTACGTTCCGACTCACCTCTCAAAAGCTCTGCTCCTGACATCCCGCCTCCCACATGGCAGGCCAGTGCCACAGGGGGTCCTGCCGTCCCATTGCCCCCTCCCAGTGTCCCATATCCATGTGGCCCCTCCCTCGCCTCTGCCAGGCCTCCCCAGAGACCCAGGTGGGAAGCAGAGGGCGAGCCAGTGAGGGCACCTGTCTTCTGTGTCCCGGGGCCATTCGTGATGGTACAGACGCAGGTGTTGGCCATGGAAGTCACTGGTGTCCAGCTGCCCGTGAGCTTGGAAGGGTCACTCTCGGGCCTCAGGTCCCCTACCGCCTGGCATGCACCAGCTCAGCGCCCTTCCCCTTTCTTTGGTTGAACTAAAGAAAGAACAATATAAAAACCCCAGGACAGCTTGAATGGGAGTCTGAATACTGACCTCTCACCAGCCTGGGGAAGTACAGTATCAGGGTGTGGCGGGGGGCAGCCATTCAGACCTGGACAGAGCCCAGCTGGTGGAGCCCCTGGTCCTCCCTCTCACCCAGATAGCATAACACCTTGCCCAGCCCCAGTACCCCGCTGGGCATTCAGGGGGGGAGGACAGGTGAGCAGAGGGGCAGTGGCCAGATTCCACACAGGTGAAAGGCACCTGCCAGGGACCAGGATCCCGGGGCCAGCCCGGCCTTCTGTGCACCTGACTTGCTTTCTCCTCACTGCCCCTGGACACCCTTCCTAAGCTGTCCTGGGCCTCCCTACCCTGCACCCACCCCAAAGGACTGAGGTCACAGGGGAACCGATTCTGACCCACGGGAGCCCAACAGGGCACCAGCAGGTGGAGGCCACTCAGAGTCAGGAAAGTCCTGGGCAGGGGGCGGGGAACGTCACCCTGACACAGTGCTGGCCCAGCTCCGTCCGCCCTGTGCCAGGCACCCTGCGGCACTTCCCAGCTGCACCAGGCAGGGCGACCCACGCAGGCCAGCTCGAGCCAGTGCCCGAAGCAGGGGTGGGGGGCAAGCCAAGGGGGCCCCCTCCGCACCTCCTGGCAGAGGTAGGCGGGAGTGGGGGGAGGGGTGGGGGCCCAGCTGCCGTGTTCTGCACATGGGGACAGACAGGGTGACTGTGCTGATGATCCGTGCCAGGTCCGTGTTTATGCTGTGCGTGCGTGACTGCACGTGTATGCATGTGAGCACGTGTGTGAGTACGTGCATGTGTGTGCATGTGTGAGCACACACACGTGCATGTTTTCCCACGCTGTGGCGGTCCAGCCAGTGAGCTGCGTTTGAGCCACGGGCTGGATGTTGGTCTGGCTGCAGTGCCATGGGGACCCCTGACCCTAAGACCCCACCCGGCCCTCAGGCAGGGTGGAGGGAGGCGGCCTTAGGGCCTCTCAGCCTCCCTGCTGAGCCCGGCTTCTCTCGCCTGCCTGGCACGGCCCTTCTCTGCACTCCTTGGGTCTTGGGTCCGAGGCCGCCCTTGGGGTACCCTGGTTGTTGTGACCTAACAGAGCCCCCCGCCCATCCGCGTGTTTCCTGGCTGTGTTTGGCTGCAGCACAGGGCTGGTCTTTCCTTGGGTTTCCGAGCGGCAAAGCTCGGAGGGCGTGGCCAGGCCCACCCCGCTCCCCTTTCTGCCCGAAGCAGGTGCTTCTCGGGTATTTGTCCCGATGTGACCAGAGGGCTCCATAAAGAGAAAGCAGCCTCCAGGTGACCCCCCCATCACGGGGTTCAGCATTGACAGCAGGTGACCCCAGAGTCGGAAGCCTCGGTCTCATGGTCAGAGGGACATACAACCAGCGGATGGACAGACAGGCAGCTGGTGGCCGGCAGAAGCTTCTGAGAATTAGCGGAAGCTGGGATGAGCGGCCGGCGGGTGGCCTGCCGGGTCCTGGAAATCCTTGCTTCCTGTTTTCCCAACAAAGGGCTTCTGTCCCCCCAGGAAGGCTGCTGGCCAGCAGCAGCGGACGCGCCTTTTCCGTAAACAGGGTTGTTTTCCTTTCTCCTCTTGGCATAATAACAGCCGTCCCCAAGCCCCCATCCTGGCCCTGGGCGCCACCAGCCATGGGATCCTGCATGGGAGGCTCTCCTGGGAATGGGGGTCACAGCTTGGCCACCTGGGATGAGGCCCTCAGGGCAAGCAGGGGACAGAAATTCAGTGTGCCCACCCCATGGGACAGGTGGGAGGCCAGACCAACCCTGGGGTCCACTAGAGCCAGAGAATCGGGGTGGGTGGGGCTGTGCTGAGCCAGTGCCCCCTGGGGCTTGGCAGGGCCCTGTGACCCTTGGGCCCAAACCCACGGCACCAGGAGCCGAGAGCCAGGGCTAAGTCCACACAGAGGCTGGGTGTCCCGGGACGGGGCGGCAGGGGCCAGGGCTCCGCTCCAGGTGGATCTCCCTCCACGCTGGCTGGGGGAGCCAGCGGCCTTGGGTGCTCAGCCAGATAAACACTGTTGATGCCTGCTGCACAGTGACAAGCTCGAGGGTCAGAGAGGGCCTCTGATGGGCCAAAGGCCCTGCGTGGGACCAGGTTGCAGACCAAGTGTGCCTGCATCCCCGGGAAGGGAGGCCAGGCAAGACCCAGCAGAGGAAGGGCCACAATGCCGACCCTTGGCCACGTGGCCTTAAGGAGTGAACAACACAGGGATGGAAACAGCACCCCCCAGGCAGCCTTGGTTCCGGCAGGACCCGTGAGGGATGCAGTGACAGCCTCAGCAGAGGGCGGCTGGGGCGATGTGCGCAGCCCTCCACGGAGTGGGCTGGGTGCCCAGGCGTGCACAGCTGAGTGGACCAGTGTGCGTGTACGGCTGAGTGGGCCAGTGTGCGGTGTGTGTGGGTGATTGTGTGTGCCCAGGCAGCAGGCGTCTGCACGGTCTGTGTGAGGGGCTGTGGGGCTATTTATAGCAGCTCCGCTGACGACTGCAGCTATTAATAGCGAGGATGGAGGGTGAATGGACAATATGCCTGTGGGTGCGGGCGGGTGCCATCCTCTGCCGGAGACACCCGGGGCTGGTACCCCAGCCCCCACCCAGGCAGCCAGACAAAAGCCACTGTTCTCTGGTCAGCAGCTGAGGCAGACTCTGCGGTTCACCTAAGGCAGCATGCCAGGGGTCCCAGGCTGGTGCCCCCACCCCGCTTTTCCAGTCACTGTTCACCCTAAGGAGGATGTGCAGATGGTAGGTTCAAGACGAGAGGGGACAAGGCTTGTAAGGGGGACCAGGACAGAGGAGGACTGCTGAGGTCAGCCGTGCACACCTGGTTCTTAGATGGTAGCCCAGGAGGCCGGGGGAGGGGTGAGAAAAGGATTGTGGGGTCATAAGGGACCTTGAGCATTCACAACCAACCCATGTGCTTTTTGGGGAGCACCCCATTTCTAGTCTGGGACCAGAAATGGACTTGACACCTTGCAGCCAGCCAGGACAACAGGCTGTCCCAGCAGTAAGCGGTGGTCAGCTAGGCTTTTGGGCCACACCAAGGGATGGGTGTGGAGGGGGGTAGGCCCACCTCCCCACAGCCAGGCTGGTGGGTTACCCCCTGCTCTGACTGAGGTACATTCTCTGCTTTTTGAAACTACAAAGGCCACCCAGCTGGTGGTAAAAAGATCAGGGTGAGGGTGGAGGGTAAAGTGGGGGACATGCCTTAGACCTTCACTTTGGCTCTGCTCCCCAGCTCCACCCCTTCCCGGGGCCCAGTCACTGGTCACACCAGGCTGCTTCAGGAGGGTGGGCAGTGTCCAGGAACCCAGCCAGCAGGGCCGCCTTCTTGCGGGGGCCGGGAAGTGGGGAGAAAGCTGTGTGGACTTGCAGGGGCCGCTCCTGTCCAGGCAGAGGCCCTGGGTCACCTTCACCCAGGGCTCAGACTGCTCACACACGAGGCAGGAGTCCTGCGGCCCCACAACCGTCTTGGTGCAGGCAGGCCTCTCCAGGGCTGCGCCCCACAGCCTCGCGGAGCCCCGGCCGCCAGCCGGCACGGAGGGAGCCCCCACAGCCAGACCCCAGGCCGAGGCTCGGGCGCCACTCCCAGCCCCACGCGGAGGGGACCTGGGGCACCCTGCAGTGCTCCCCACCCTTGAACTTGTATCATCTCGTTCACGGCCTCCTTATGTCGCGCTTGTTTCCTTTGGGACCCGCACCTCCACCCCGCGCCATGACGTCACGGGGGACGCGAGCATCCCGCCTGCGACCACCTGTCGCCCAGCGCTTTCCGCGGTCTGGCCGAGCGCGCACGCGCCGCGCCTGCGTCCGAAGCCTCGGGTTTTACCGTCGGCGTCAGCGCCCCCGCGTTCCTAGCGCTCCGGGAATGGGGGCGTCCCGGGCCGGACGCGCAGGCCGCGGGGGCGCG